ATACATATTAATAATTTTACATTTATGTGATTATTGTAGCTAATCAGAATTTGTATGCTCAAAATGCATCAAAAAAAAAGATGAGCGAGGCAAAGAGGCTGCTTGCTTTTATATTTTACATTTTGTATGTGAAATTCGATGTTCAATGGAATTCCAAAAATACATATTGTATGTGAAATTAATATAATCTGTAATTTTGCATGTTGTAATAATATATAATGTAATGATTATGTTAGTAAGATCGGAAAAGATTCATTATGATCATATAAATATTTTTTTCAATGAGCGTGCGTTCCTGTACATTTACGTTTAATACACGTATAAAAATTAGTATCTGAAGTTATATATGAGACGGACATGGAAACGGAAATTACACGTTTTTATAGAGGCCTAACATTCTATGATTATACTGTACGTGTGCTCCTACCGCGAAACGTTATGTTGTATGTAAAATTCCATGTTCAATGGAACCTCGAAAATACATATTGCATGTGAAATTAATATAATCTGTAATTTTCCATGTAAGTTGCAATATTATATGATTATGTTGGGTCGAAAAAAAACCTAACATAATCATGTAACTTTACATAAATATTTTTTTCAATGTAGACTAAACCACCATAATCAATAGTATTAGTATCAATATTGTGATAAATATTATTTAGTAAAATTTACTTTTATTCATGTCCTCGTGTGCTATATATCGCAAAAGTTTTGCGTGCAACTCTAGATTAACATCATCCTTCAGAGATTGCCATAGACGTAAAAATTCGTAAGGAGATTCGATGTTCAGTTTCTGAAACGGATTACATGAAATATTTTTTATTTCTCATTTTCTTTTAATTTTGTCTTTTACTTCATATTTTTTATTAGTATGATTTTTATATGATTTTTGTATGATTTTTGCATAATTTTTAGCAAGTTAAATTTCTTTGCAATTGTTTGAAAATACTGTGTTTTGAAATCTGAAATCATACCTGAAGATCCATTCCCAATTTGTTTTCTATTTTACACTCGTTAATAATAATTTTGTTTGACGTACTCGTTTTAGTCTTGCTTTCCTTTTCAGAAGTTAGCTTTTTATTCTTATCTGTACTTGATTTTTTATTTAACAGCATATCATTCTCCTCTTTTGTATTTTTTTTTATTTTCATCCTTACTTCATTACCGCTAGTTATCTTTGATTTCTCATACTTATCAGCCTGAATTTGACTGGACTTTGAGTTTGTTTCAGTCTTGCTCTCTCTTTCGAGGAAGATTGATTCCTTATTTTTATTCATATATAATTTCTTTGTTGCATTTTTTTCTTCTACCGGACTCATTTCTTTTTTTGCTTCTTTCTTCACTTTGCCAAAGTCGGCAGGTTCCGTCGATTTCTCATACGCTTCGTCGCTCGGAAGTTCTTCAATGATAACTGTAGATGGTTTCGTTTTATTCATAGGCGACGATACACACGAAAAGATAGACTTCTCCAATCTATTCTTTGCGCCACGCAGTCCGGGAAATGACTCGCGTGAAATCGTGAAAATATCCTCGCTCTCGGGGTCTTGCGATCTCGTCGTTTTATTCTTGGCGCCGAAATTCCTCGCAACAGGTGATAATTTATCACCGCTCGATGAATCGCGTGTTGTTTTCTCGTTGCTTTTATTTGCCACGGTATCCGCTACCGCTGCTGCTACTGTCGTCGCTTTGTTGCTCTTGGTTTCCACGCAGTAACTCGCTTTTAAATGCGGTTTCGTTGCAATACTTCGCGACGATCCTGGCGCTCTGTCGCAATAACATATATCGCTGTTAACACTCAGTTTCGAATACTCGATGCTATTTGCTTTCACAGTTCTCTTCGTTTTTATATGCTCGCTCTTGTTTTCGTCATCGTTCATATTTTCTTCGATCTTCATCCTGGATTGGAATAGAATAGTTATAATTCTACATCCTGAATTAGAATTAGAATAGTTATAATTTATTCCTACAATTAATATAGACCACATCTATTAATCACATATTAATCATAATTAATTTAATGATCACATCTTTTTATGAAATGTCATAATTTTAACTGCAATTACAAATAAGTATTGTAAGTATAATAATAATAATAATAATAATAATAATAATAATAATATCGTAATACCTTGAGACTTTAAAATTTATCAATTTAAATTTATTCGCTAAAAGTTGTAATATATGATACTAGATTGTTTATTATTATCATCAATAATACTGAAATTAAAAATTGAATTTCTACCTTATTTTCTTCGACTTGCATGGCTTTTTCAACTTGTTTACACAGGATATTGCTGTTTTATTAGTTGGCTCTAATTTTAAAACAGCTTCGTAATCTGCCAGAGCCTATATAAAATAATATATTAGTTAATTGTACACAAGATTTATGAAATATTACTTAAGATTATTCTACATAAGTCGCAAACGCAAAAAATAGTTCGCAATGCTTGCCGTGAGAACAAATTAAAAGTGTCAATGATATTATTGACTGCTTCTCATTGGCTGATTGCGAACTACGTTTTGCTTATATGACTTATATAGAATAATTATTATAAATCAATATGTTATGTGTGCAATCTGGTGTGCAATTTTTATACCTCGTACGTTTTTTCTAGATGCTCCAGAGATAGTGCTCGACGAAGGAGCGCTTTGATATTTCTGTAATCCATAGTGAGTACGGTGTTGCAGTCATTAAGCGCGTCCTCATAATGCTGCAGCTTTATAACTGAACGCAATATATGGCTCATTGGGATCTTATTATGCAACACAAAATTTTGCGATATTTTGACGAATTTTGAATTGAAACAGCACAAAATATCTTACTTTGCTACTACTATTACTACTACTAATAATAATCATATGATCTTTAATTTTTCAATTTAACTTTTTCATCATTTTCAAATGATTCATCTCGAATAATTCATTGAAGATTTACATTTTGTAAAAAAAATATAAGAACTTGAATATCTTTAACTGTTTTGTCATATAATCGCGTATGATTATTAATTTACTGTAATCAGAATGAAAAAAGCAAAAGAATAAATTTTCTTACATGTCATAGCACGATTGTTGTAGGCATTTAGATTCGAGTCTAGGTCGATGCTAGCGTTATAATGCCGAAGAGCTTCCTCGTAATCAGCCGCTCTGAAGGCTTCATTCCCTTTTTCTCTTTCTTGTTCCGCCATTACGTTAATTTCCGTACCAGTTAATGAAGCTAATAATAGATTAGGAGATTTAGTAAATCTAATTTAAGAGGGATCAGGATCCAATTTTGATTAAAATTAATAGGTGATCGAGATTATAAATTCTATGAAAATTAATGAGAGAAACTAAATGTACTAAATGAACTGTCTGGAGCACTCTGTGAATTTACTCTGTGAATTTAGTCAGACAGCTCTTTACTCTCTTAATTAACCGTCGTGACATTTTAAAGACGTTACTTTATGAACATACGTTTACCAACTGTCGTCTTATATGTCATTTTATTCATTTTATCTAGTTCTTTTCGCTGTTCCTGGATTCTCTTCATTTCGGCCTGTCGTTGCTCGTCTTGCAGGTCTATCCTGTTTATTTCTGTGTCAACGTCATATTTATCCCAAGCTCCATAATCACACGAGGCAATTCGTTTGGGTTTGCATTTTTTCTCATTGATATTCGTCTTTTTAACCTTAAAACACGACATATGACTTAAGGCATTAAACAATTCTTATACATTTTTTTCTACAAGCAAGCCTAGTAAATATAAAAGTCTATTAAGAGTTTAGTTTTGTATCAATTAGTAATTTCTTGCAATTTAGAAATAGTTAATTGATTTTGACTTTAAGAATTAATTAATTGATTAATAAGAAAATACATATAACAATATATATCATAAGATACGAATTTGAAGAGGCATTAATATTTCAAATTATTGCAATTTTAAAGCAAGAGACGCTTAAGACAATGTCTTAACAAAATGTATATCCCTGTACTTTGATTATTATATCGATATACTTTTGTAGTATTCGTTTTTATCTGTCGAATTTCTGGCTGTAGACAGGGTTCGTTGGTAAGGATAGCTTTCCCCTCGTCCAAATCTTTCTCACGAGATTGCATCTCGCACGTCCAATTGCTGATGTCGTCGTCGATTTCCTGCTGTTCGTTCGCATTTAACATATTTCGCCTCAAAACTGGCTCCGCCTTCCTCAAAAGAGCGCTTGTCGGTTTAATCCTAGCGAGACGCTCCTCCGCGTGCTTCGTCAAATCTGGATAGTCTCCCTCTTCCCCAGAACTAGTATTAAAACCGCATGTGGAGAAGTTTATGACGAATCGTTAATAAACGTGCCGGAAAATAACAGGTTTAATGGCATTTTAACCAGTAGGATTGCAAATCTCACTAATGATTAGCACAAAAATTAAAAATTGTCAGGACGTACTATAATTACCATAATGTACCGAGGATTAGTTGAGAGGTACTCAAAATAAGAAGCGTTAAGATATTAATAATATTTTGCATAAGGAGGGTGGTCTAAGAAGCGCCAGGCTTTGCAAACCTGATTGGCAGACGTGTAGAAAATTTTTTAACGCATCAAGAGTGCAAGATAAAATAATAATAAACGATAGTAATCAATTAACGTCAACATAAACGTTGTTTCTTCGCTCTGGAGTTTCCGGCGTTTCAAGAAACTCACCGTAAGATGAGAACGATTCGCTCCAGTGTTTTCCCATCGGTGCATTGCGATATGAATTCGTACGAGACATTTTCCACCGGTATGTTGTATCTCTCGAGCAGAGTTTTTTTCTCAGGTCTTTCCACGATGCTAATTATATCCGTCTCCTTTTCGTTGCCCATGATAATGAACGCGAAAGTGGGGAGAACGATCCGAAGATTACACTGCGAATAGGTTACCTTCTAGGCTCCACGCGTTTGACAGAGGCAATGGTTGAGTAGCGGTTGAGTAGAGATCGAACCGGATTTTTTGAATTCTCCAAGAGTGCATGCCAATTACCTCGAATTACTACTCTGATCTCGTGACTCTGACGTCGTTGATGGTTGTCTTCGCTGACGCGCCCTTTTGATTCATCAAGTTACCACGGATACATAAGTTGTTGATTTTCTGCGCAACTTGGACCTTCCTAACGATCAATAATACCTGAGATATACATAAATTTCCACGAAGAAGAACGCTGAAAGATTGCATGTCGTGCGTCTTTGAATCTTAAAAATCTTTTCTCAAATATTAATATTAGGATCAGATTTATTTAAATTTTCGCAAGAAAAAGCTTTATCTAGAACTTTTGCTAAATTATTCGCTTACATTTGCCGAACAAAATTTTTAAAAATTCTTAAAAAAGATGCTCTTATAGTCCCATATTTCTCTCGACGGATTTCTATTGTACACGGAAAGAACAGTTCTGTTGAAGTATTTAAAAATTTAGGTACAGATACAGATTTGGAAATGTGATTTTTCACGAGGTAATATTTTTCGCAATAAATTTATTAACAGTTTCAATATATTAATATTTTTATAATATGATGCTTGATGGTAACATCAAATTATTAAATTGCTTGTCAATTTAATTCACGATTACTAGAGTAGTTTTAATTGCGTTTATAGTCCGGAAAAACAATTCGGCGCGCAGTTCTAAAAAGACTACATGGTATATATACAAGTACATATATAGTGTATATTAATAATTCAAGATTGAATTATTTAAAGCAATGAAGATCCAGCTTCGATCGTACAGGCATACTAAAACAGAAGATTCTTAAAAATGTGATTTTATTACGTCATCAAAATAATTATGTAGAGTATTTAAGTGATGACAATGTGTTAATGCTGCAAAAAGTCAATTTAGTAATTAATTTGAGTGCTCTACATAATTATTTTCAGATCTGTAGCTGAATTTTTAGATACTTTGGGAAAAACTTTCCTAAAATTTTGCAAGAAGTTTATAGTCCGGAAAAACAATTCGGCGCGCAGTTCTAAAAAGACTACATGGTATATATACAAGTACATATATAGTGTATATTAATAATTCAAGATTGAATTATTTAAAGCAATGAAGATCCAGCTTCGATCGTACAGGCATACTAAAACAGAAGATTCTTAAAAATGTGATTTTATTACGTCATCAAAATAATTATGTAGAGTATTTAAGTGATGACAATGTGTTAATGCTGCAAAAAGTCAATTTAGTACGAATTTGAAGAGGCATTAATATTTCAAATTATTGCAATTTTAAAGCAAGAGACGCTTAAGACAATGTCTTAACAAAATGTATATCCCTGTACTTTGATTATTATATCGATATACTTTTGTAGTATTCGTTTTTATCTGTCGAATTTCTGGCTGTAGACAGGGTTCGTTGGTAAGGATAGCTTTCCCCTCGTCCAAATCTTTCTCACGAGATTGCATCTCGCACGTCCAATTGCTGATGTCGTCGTCGATTTCCTGCTGTTCGTTCGCATTTAACATATTTCGCCTCAAAACTGGCTCCGCCTTCCTCAAAAGAGCGCTTGTCGGTTTAATCCTAGCGAGACGCTCCTCCGCGTGCTTCGTCAAATCTGGATAGTCTCCCTCTTCCCCAGAACTAGTATTAAAACCGCATGTGGAGAAGTTTATGACGAATCGTTAATAAACGTGCCGGAAAATAACAGGTTTAATGGCATTTTAACCAGTAGGATTGCAAATCTCACTAATGATTAGCACAAAAATTAAAAATTGTCAGGACGTACTATAATTACCATAATGTACCGAGGATTAGTTGAGAGGTACTCAAAATAAGAAGCGTTAAGATATTAATAATATTTTGCATAAGGAGGGTGGTCTAAGAAGCGCCAGGCTTTGCAAACCTGATTGGCAGACGTGTAGAAAATTTTTTAACGCATCAAGAGTGCAAGATAAAATAATAATAAACGATAGTAATCAATTAACGTCAACATAAACGTTGTTTCTTCGCTCTGGAGTTTCCGGCGTTTCAAGAAACTCACCGTAAGATGAGAACGATTCGCTCCAGTGTTTTCCCATCGGTGCATTGCGATATGAATTCGTACGAGACATTTTCCACCGGTATGTTGTATCTCTCGAGCAGAGTTTTTTTCTCAGGTCTTTCCACGATGCTAATTATATCCGTCTCCTTTTCGTTGCCCATGATAATGAACGCGAAAGTGGGGAGAACGATCCGAAGATTACACTGCGAATAGGTTACCTTCTAGGCTCCACGCGTTTGACAGAGGCAATGGTTGAGTAGCGGTTGAGTAGAGATCGAACCGGATTTTTTGAATTCTCCAAGAGTGCATGCCAATTACCTCGAATTACTACTCTGATCTCGTGACTCTGACGTCGTTGATGGTTGTCTTCGCTGACGCGCCCTTTTGATTCATCAAGTTACCACGGATACATAAGTTGTTGATTTTCTGCGCAACTTGGACCTTCCTAACGATCAATAATACCTGAGATATACATAAATTTCCACGAAGAAGAACGCTGAAAGATTGCATGTCGTGCGTCTTTGAATCTTAAAAATCTTTTCTCAAATATTAATATTAGGATCAGATTTATTTAAATTTTCGCAAGAAAAAGCTTTATCTAGAACTTTTGCTAAATTATTCGCTTACATTTGCCGAACAAAATTTTTAAAAATTCTTAAAAAAGATGCTCTTATAGTCCCATATTTCTCTCGACGGATTTCTATTGTACACGGAAAGAACAGTTCTGTTGAAGTATTTAAAAATTTAGGTACAGATACAGATTTGGAAATGTGATTTTTCACGAGGTAATATTTTTCGCAATAAATTTATTAACAGTTTCAATATATTAATATTTTTATAATATGATGCTTGATGGTAACATCAAATTATTAAATTGCTTGTCAATTTAATTCACGATTACTAGAGTAGTTTTAATTGCGTTTATAGTCCGGAAAAACAATTCGGCGCGCAGTTCTAAAAAGACTACATGGTATATACAAGTACATATATAGTGTATATTAATAATTCAAGATTGAATTATTTAAAGCAATGAAGATCCAGCTTCGATCGTACAGGCATACTAAAACAGAAGATTCTTAAAAATGTGATTTTATTACGTCATCAAAATAATTATGTAGAGTATTTAAGTGATGACAATGTGTTAATGCTGCAAAAAGTCAATTTAGTAATTAATTTGAGTGCTCTACATAATTATTTTCAGATCTGTAGCTGAATTTTTAGATACTTTGGGAAAAACTTTCCTAAAATTTTGCAAGAAGTTTATAGTCCGGAAAAACAATTCGGCGCGCAGTTCTAAAAAGACTACATGGTATATACAAGTACATATATAGTGTATATTAATAATTCAAGATTGAATTATTTAAAGCAATGAAGATCCAGCTTCGATCGTACAGGCATACTAAAACAGAAGATTCTTAAAAATGTGATTTTATTACGTCATCAAAATAATTATGTAGAATATTTGCGTGATGACAATGTGTTAATGCTGCAAAAAGTCAACAATTTAGTAACAATTAATTTGAGTGCTCTACATAATTATTTTCAGATCTGTAGCTGAATTTTTAGATACTTTGGGAAAAAACCTTCCTAAAATTTTGCAAGAAGTTATAATGAAAGAAGTTTTAATACGCGTATCCGTATCACAATCCTGCGAAGAACGGTGAAGTCTAGCAACGCGTCTAACAAGGATAAACTCGCATTTCCACCTTCGTCGGCGCCGCGCCGTGCCCGAGAGGAGTATTCTTCTCCCCTTTTTCCGACGCAACCTCCTCCTCTCGCGTACACGCGCGCACGCTTGCTTGCCTGTTAACACGGCAGTTGGCTCGCAACCTCATCGTAACGCGACGCGACGCGACGCAACGCGAAGTGCAGCAGTACACGGCGAATGAAAGAGGCGTGCAATCGTCGTCATCGTGGTCGCGGTGAGCGAGCGCTCAGTTCAGCGCAGCCAAGTGCATATTAGACGAGGCAGCCGCGAACGCCGTGCATTCGCCGGCGAGCGCTCGCTCAGAGTGGAGAGTGCCTGCGACTTGCGAGTGTGTACCGCGTGTTTTTACTCTCTTTCTCTCTCTCTTGCGCGCGCGCGCGCGCGCGTTCGATCTCCTCACGTCAAGTGCCACGCTGTGCGGTGCGACCGTCCGAAATTCGCGAACGCGAATATACTACTCCAGGAAATTCCACGTCTGGAGTTCACGTTCTTTATGTGTTTCAAAAATCACGCATTTCTCGGCGATAATCATTGTCGAATTTGCCAAGTGCGATCTCTGACCGTCAAGTTGTGAATGGACACACGAATCCTCGGGTATCGAGACGTGTTCTTGAAATAATCGTGGAGTGGTGCTCAATGCATTAGAAGAGTTTAAGCTTTCAAGTGCTGTTCTCGGGTTTCTAAACATTTACCGCCGGGTTGACGTATCACAGCGATACCGAGTTGTGACCGGCGAGTTTTTAATCGATTTTTGATCGCTGAATTCTAACTGCCACGCTCCAATCCAATAATTGTGCAAGTGTAACTGTTAGGATATCAGGTAATTATTCTTAGAAAGATTTTTTAGAAAGATTCATCACTTTGGTTCGCTTTTGTCAGGGCTTAAAGGTCATCAATTGATCTCTAAGGTTAATTATAAAAGTTAATTTCCTTATTAATGCGCGTAACTTAATGTGACTTAATTAATATCGGATATGCGCCGGATCGGCGTGCGATTCGTTGAAATATCTTGGCGGAACGCTCGCAAGTGGAGAAATGTATTATTTAATCCACGGGTCATCGGCCTTCCTAGATGCGATTAACGCGACTTCGCGATCGCTGTTAATCGACAGAATTAATTTATACATCAGGAACTTCGCGTGCGTTAATTGAAATCGCTTGTGCGTATATTTCGACATGAATAACGCAATTATCGATTCTTCCAGCGTTGATTAATTCTCACCGTGATTAATTTTCACCGATTAATTCTTAACCGATTGTCGCTTTTGATGTAACGCAGAAAACTGATACGTACAATTTACTTGATTACAATTTTCGTCAATCGATGATCAAGGATCGAAGCAGATCGAATTTTCGAAAAACGCGGGAAAATAGAATCGTCGTATCGCACAAGAATTCTCCGAAGAAAATCGATCTTATTAAATAAACAAGTGGCGCATCTGCGCATCTAGTATTTACACATCGTAGACTTGCTACGTGCGAAGAAACCGATACCTTGGTTTCCGATTACGCTCCTCTATCGCGAGCAACGAGTTGATTTCTCACTTACGTAGACGATGAGCAGAAACATTTGTGACAGATATGCCGAAATTTAAGTAGGTAGATAAAGAACAAAAGTAAAGAATCTAATCAATCGTGTGACTGCGAAATATTCGATCGAATTAATTACTCAAGACTATATTCTCGGCCACATCATTTTATTTAATACATATAATTTTTCTCCGTTTGACATTATTCGAGATATAACACAAGAGATTTGATTAAATTTGATTTGATTTGATATTTAAAAAATACTCGATTCAATTTGATTTATTTTGAAGAGTGTGGAAGATAAGATAATCTTGCAAAAGCAATTTTTTTTTTTAGCACGTAAATTATTTTATAGTAGAGTATATTTTTCGAAATGTACTTATAGCATGGATGATTCTTATCGTATTATCGACGATTTTATATTTGTTGTCTCTTTGAAAACGCTGAATTAGTATTTGTTCAGAAATATACTATATCACAATCAATAAACATTTATATCGGTTAAACATGTCATAATCACGTATTTTGTCGAATCGTTCTTGCGTTTGCTGGATTTTTGAATGAAAATTTATTTATAACTCATTCATTCTTGACTTTACTTTGACCGCGTTTCTGTTATTAGTGTCCGTGTAATGGAAGTCTGTTATATAATATAATGGATATGATTAAAAATTTGTTATTAAATAGATAATTAAGGTAGATAATTATAAAAGGTAGTTTATTATTTCAAAACTATATGATCTGAATTATCATTTTATTTCAATCATACTTCATTTAATTTAGTACGTGTCGCAATTTACGGTCGTGCTTTGTTGTTCAACATTGTGACGTTCGCGATATGGTCACATTAAAAGAATTTCTCGTGAATAATATCGTCGCAATGCGCCCTGAAAGATAATGAAGTTTAATACGTGATACGGGACGCGTTATCTAATCTAGATATCATTTAAAGCGTAGTAGAAGCGAGAATTAGAGACGTGTGACGACTTGCGAATTTCAGTGCGCAAAAAGTTGATTTTTTGCGCGTATTTTATCACCTCGCGTATTATTTTTTTAATTCATCTATCGACCAATCGCATTATGCGTCAATGCTTTTACGGAGCAAAGTTACATTTTCGTATAATAACATTGTGATTAATCAACGAATTTAAAAACTTGCTTTATTTCTCTGTTACATTTGTCATATTTTTCATCGTTATACGTTTACTACTTCGTCATTGTGTTTCTCCATTAAGTATTCCTCTGCTACGTTGATTGCTTTCTCGTTTTCCTCTCAGTCGCTTTCCCGTTATACTATTTATTTAATATTGACTATTGCTTAGATATTTTATTCTAATTACGTAACGTAGAATATCTGAAGATTTCTTATCAACGGATTAAAAGTACTCGTATCGTAATTGCAAAATCGTAAATTTTAAGGAGTTATTTTTACAAGTTATTTTTCTTTGCAAGAAATTCTTTTTTCTTGCTTTACGTAAACGGAGAAAAGAATTAAAATGCCTCATTATTTTATGGCGCCAATTATGCTCCAAAATGGCTTAATCTTTCATTCAAAATTAAACCCGCCACTTCTCTCGAAATATTAAAATTAGCTCACGGTGTTCGGCAAAAAAAAAAAGAAAAAAAAAAGAAAGAAAAAGAAAAAAAAAGAGAGAGAAAACAGCGAAACAAAAAGTTGCGTGTCGCTGCGGGGGATGAATGCATCCTACTTTTCTCGCGGTCGTCGTCTGCCGTCGTCTTCGCGCGCGCGAGCGATAAGCGAGTATCAGTATGCGTGCATACGCGCGTGCGTGCGTGCCTGTCCTTTTTTCGTAATCGCCGACGTGTCGGCGGCGCCAAGCTAGAAGACGCGGAGGAAGGCCGACGACCCGTTATAAATGGAACCAGAGAGACGGCATTTCTTGAATCGCTGCTTGTGTTGTTATTCGCAGCGCAGCGTCGGCCGCTGCGGGACGAGTGAACGAGCGAACCAGGCTCGTTCGGAAACCACCCTGGCTTCCGAAGGTGCGAAAAAGGAGGAGACCGTAATTCTGAATCGTGCTGTCCAGTTTGACGTTCGGTGTGAGGATCGGGGAAAGGAAGAACGGAAGAATTTAGAGGAAATCGAAGAGGAAGCGCTTTCTTCGTATTTTTCATATTTTTATCAAATTAATTAGTAACGCTAAATAATGCGTTGACACTTGATGAGAAAAAAAAACAGAAAGAGAGAGAAAGAGAGAGTGAGTGCGGATCAGCTGAAATCCTTGGTTTCTACTTAAAACTAAATATCGTAAGTGGACCAATAAGTGGATACTAGTCGTTCGGATAAGAGACAGGCAAAGGGAACGATTTATTTGATTAATATATACAATCGTTTGACAGTTGGAGAACAAAGATTTTACAGAAATCTCTGTCTAAGAGATAGAGTCTTACTGGAGAGAGAAAAGGACGAGAGGAAAACAAACAAACGGCGTCACGTGACATTTGTCATCTTGAAGAAGAAATCGTGATAAGATAACACGGCGGTCGTTGCTGCTAATAAACGTGCTCGAGAGGGCACATTGTGATTTTCTTGACGAAGGACGCGAGATTGTAATCGCGGCTGTCATTCTTGAGAAAGGAGCTCGATCGCGCTCGATTCGGAGCTTCGCAGTGAGTCACAAGAATCGTGCAAGATCGGCGTGTCGTCGCGCGGCTGCAAAAAGGAGGCTGTATTACTCAACACGCGGCTTTATCGAGGATCCCGCGCGAAGGAAGAATCGCGTTCGACATGCCAGACGGGGACTCGTAATCGCGGTTACGTGGTTCTCTCTCGTTCACCAGGTAGAAAACGACACACGGGAATCTCCGATATCGGCTGCCTGTTCATCGATCGTCGCCCGATGGTTTCCTCCGAGTCGCCTGGAATTAGCAAGGAAGATTCTAATTAACGCTGCCATTAATAGCTCCATATCTAAGCAGTGACGACTTCAGCTGATGATTAATAGATAACCGCCGATTAAATACCTGATCGAGGCAAAGAACGAGAGCGAGAGGAGAAGGGTTTTTCGCTGTTTTCTTTTCGAAATAACGTTCCTGTGCTTCAACACTGCGCCATAATCATCAATTCTCTATTCATTCTACGTAATTCTTCTGAAACGCTAGATTAAGATCCGTACGGTTTCTTTGCCTCGAAAACTCTCTTTCTTTCTCTTTTGCGTGTAAACGAAAGAGAATTTAATTAAGTGCACGAGAGATTAATTAACGATTGATAATTATACCGCTATGAAATTGAGCAATGATGACTTGAGCAGATGATCGACTGTTCGTTACAATAATTAATTTCGTAAGAGTGTTGCGAGTGTCGCGTGTGCTCGAGAAGGACATCGGCCCTTTTTGTGCGCGCGAGTGAATGTCGGTGTTCCGTTGAGGAATAATATGAGTAAGTAAGTGACGGCGGTAAAGTGCAAAGTGATGTAATTGGTGCATTCGCTGCGGAGGCAATGTGTGATGCCAAATCAGCCCGAATGACACTTAGCCCACGCAGCTGATGACAAACGTAAACAGGATCAAGGTGGTCGTCCTCGGCGGCCCCAGAGTCGGTAAATCAGGTGAATCTCTTTTTTTTTTTCTGTCTTTTCACTTTGCTTCATTCTGATGTAAAAACAATTTCATTTATTTTCATCAATACTATTATCAAAATCACAAAATTTTTTTAACTCAACTGAATTAATTCTGTTGTAAGTATAATTAACCAAATTAATTCTAATTACTAACGGTAAGTTAACTCTTCGTCTGTAATCTCTGAGTTTTATCTAGTTTAAGTTTTTTTACTGTTTTAGCTTTGCAAAAAAGAATTTCATTGCTAACAAGATATTTTTAGTGCCCTCTTTTATTTCAGAGAAATTTAAATGAAGTTTCACTGATTTCAAACGAAGAGTTAATTTATTTGCTTGAAATTGCAAGAAATTCTAATCAAATTGTACGATGTGTGTGTGTGTGTGTGTGTGTGTGTCGCTTTGCCATTGTTTTGTGATCTACGAAGAGGAAGGTTTTGCACGTTGACCTTGCGCGCGAAATTAAATCGAATCGCGTTAAAACGGATAACGGAAAATACATCTGCCGTAGCAATGTCGAGACTTCCTATACGAGAACGTGATGCGATTGGAACGCATCGCGTCGGAAACGATATCCCCCATTCGGTGACGAGCGAAACGGCGAAAAAAGATACGCAGATCGATTATGGCGCAATGTCGTGAAATATTGAATCACGTCGGAAGGACGTTCATTATGATGGACGATACTAATATCGCGTCGTCGTGCAGCGTGTAATTTCTGCGCGTTGTCTAATAGCGCACCGACGCAACGCATTGAATGAAAGTGCCGTTAAGATGGATACGCATAGTCCGTGGAATAATACGTTGCATTAGTTAACCCGACAGTCGCGCGACGCATACAAAGCGAGCAAACGAACGGGCGATAAGGCGGTTCGCCGACCTCGGAATAAATCCTATTAATAACCGCTAGGACCAGCCACCTTAATAAAGGCGCGCTCTTCGTTTTATTCCGATCTCGTCCGATCTCGTACATGACTCTCCTCTTTCTTTGCATCACCAACTTTGCATCTTCATATTATTAAGTTACCGGAATCAACCGATCGTCTACAAACCATCTCATTGGCTACGTTCGGAGTAAAATGTTTGTTTTGCAACTGTTGGAAGTTTTCTTCGTGCTGATTGAATTATATTTTTAAGCTGATATTCAATAGCCGGGTCTTGTTTTATAAAGTCTTTATCTTGAGTATTATTTCATTATGTTAATACGGCTCTGTGATCGTTTCGTCACATCTTCGTGCTTAAGATGCACCTTGAGAATGTAAGAACCGATTATGAATACCGGATCTCAGAGCTAGAATAATTCTATCTGAACGAAGAAAATATTTGATATATAATAAAATAAACATTTTTTTGGACACGGCTATTGTCGAGTTATTATATTTGAAATTGCATCTTTCTAACACTGTCGTAATTATATATCTTTTTAAAATGTTGTATCTCGTAATGTCGAATACCTTAAATTCTTCGATCGTCGTCTTAAATTTTCGCATCTTCGAATAGAAAGTTGCGTCGCCTGTTGGCATCGTCATCTTGGAATATCACAAATTGCCGTTTTCTGTCGGGATTATCGCATTTTTTTCGGGAACATATTTATTTAATTGCGTTTCGTTATTTTTGCATTCGCACGTTTCATCGTCCACGATCTTGATTGCTGTAAAACACGCGACAATGTCGTCTGTTCTACTTTTTGCGGCAAAAACGGTGCATTCTCACCGCGGCGACGGCGGCGATGGGAAGAGGGATATCTCGACGGGAGCGAATCCTTAAAAGTCTCCTGTGAGACCCCGCTGGGTATAATAAGGACCTCCGTGGACGTTATCGGATATCATTTCGCGTGACCGAGAGGGGAGGGGGAGGTTGCCATGAAAAATCCTGCACGGTTGCAGCAGCAGGTTGTAAGATCTGGACATTCGATACATCCGTTCTTGCCCGCGGCATTCGATTTTGAATTCCAAATTTATATCGTAACATTTCTTCCTCCGCATTTTATCGCACCTTCGCCTGACACACTCCCGTGTACACGCGAAATAACCGTAACTCTTCTATAATAAAGGAAACGAAAATTTTGCTTGGAAATTTGGAATTTGGTTGTTGCTATTTAATCTTTATATTAATCTTTATATGTCACATTACAGGAATACTTGGGTATATCACATCCAACCCAATTCAATCGCTTATAACCTTCATAAAAATGTATATATTGTAAATAATTTGTTTTCAATTGAAATGTTAGATATTAAGAAAATATCTAACGGTAATATCTAACGAAAATATATAACGGTAGCAAGCAAATGTATTTTTTTTGTGAATTTAAAAAGAAGTTTTATTACAAAAAGTTAAAACAATGGAAAAAGTATTGAAGAAACGTTGGGAAATGAAAGCCGAGTATACCGAAAAGATGTTTAACTATGTAGTAGGAATTACAATTAATTCTCGCAAAAATAGATACCAGTAATGTATGGCATTTGAATTGGATATTTTCAAGTAAATTACAGAATTCTTCAACGACAAGGAGATTTCGCAAAAACTACCGACAGTGAGGAATCATGAAAAGAATTATGATCACGCGAGAAATGCAAGATTGTTATCTACAGCCATTTATCTGCGTTAACGCTTATTGAAGAGGCAATTGGAGGTCCGCTATCCAAGCCCAGACGTGTTCATAAATTCATTTGGTCTAAACGACTTGCTTTATTGCCGTGTCACAAGAAAAGCGGACAGAATAGTAGCTCGTGGAAGTCGCGCTTCAACGGATTTCTTTTCTGCGAGCTGTCAATTTGACACTTTTATTACCTTCTTAATATTTTAAATATAGAATTTTCTCCATTATACGAAAAAAAAAAATTACAATTTCATTTTTCGCTTTTAGAAAAATTATATATCCTGTTACCTTTTTAAAGACAAGTGTCTTTCAGCAAATATTATTGTACATTACTTTTCTCCCTTTTCCTAGTGTAATAAATAGATAAATTTTTTATCGTACAAAATTGTTATTAGTAAGCATTTTTACTCTAATTTGAAAATTAGTTATTGTTAAAAATTGTGTTTGGACTGTTTAGAGCAAAAAAATTATGTACAGAAAATTTAGTACACTCTCTATATGAAATATAAAATTAACATGTCAAGAGCGAAATTTCTTCCAATAAAAGGTAGTGTTGAATGTTTGGGGTAGACAGAAAATTTCAACGAGACACGAGAGGATGCACTTGGTTGATCAACGCGCCGCACCATCCCGATCTTTTTTAGTCATCTGTCTCCGTCTCGTTCCCCCCCCCCTCTCTCCCTCCCCCTCCCATTCAAAGCGATCGTGGCCGTAATTACTATTTTCTTACGTCCACCAAGCGACTTATCCTCCAACGATCTATCTATAGAACCCCGCGCTGGCGACCATCGCACGGCAAATGGCACCGCGAATGGTTGCATTTTGCTCGTACCGTTGCATCTTCCACATTACACACAATTCTCCGCAGGTGACTTCTCTCTTCTTATTCTCCTTCTTCATTCTTTTCTTCCTATTTGTTCTTCTACCCGCCTAGTTTTCCCTTTTCTCTCTTTTTTTTAATTTTGAACGTTATCACTTGCGCGCTATCGGTAAAAATATTACCTCTTTGAAGATTTTCACTGAGGTTTTTTTGAAATTTCATTTAATAGTACCATTGGTCGTACCTATGTTTTCGATTTTTTAACTTTATGTTGGAATATTTTTGGATAGTTGTTATCTACAGCAATATTTTGTATTCTGCATAAGCTATTAGTTATTTCTTATCGTTCGTAAGATGGCTGCTAATTAGGCCCACTATATTGTCGG